TTGGCGACGTGGTTGACCTATGATTTCTCCGTTGAACTCCGTCAAGCGAAACTGCATGGTAATGCGGATGCCTTATCACGAGTTCCCACTCATCAATGTATTTATGATGCATGTAAAGACTGCTCCTCTCGACCCGAAAAGAAACATGGTTACCGGGAAACGCGAATAAGAGTGAATGCCGAGAGTTTGATACAGGCAAGTTCAAATTTTCCGCTTTGTCAGGCTTCGGCAGCGTCATATGGGGATAATTGGCTACCTACTTACACTACTGTGGAACTTCAGGAAATGTAATTAAATGACCCAAGTATAGGACCCATCTATCAGTTTAGGGTAGAGAGAGATGGGGTTTAACGTCCACTCGACACAAACTAGGTCATTTCGGGACTATTATACGGTTTAATATTTTATTTACATAATTCGCTTGCGCGTAGGGGTCTTTAGCAGCGGGAGGAAACCTGACGAACCGGAGAAAACCCACGAGATTGGACAGGCGACCCTACTCCTTGTCACGTACAACCGGGGATTCGAAACCACGCCAGTCGACTCAATGACTTTATGATACAGCGCACGCACGCTAACCATTCAGCCACTCGAACACCCCCCCCCCCCCCGTGTAGGGTAGAACAACTTGAAAGACTATATAATGAGCCTAGGATTCTTTGTTTGGGCGCAATGGGATAACCATGTGATAAAAAAAATTCTAATGCTCTAAGACAAATGGCCAGATACATACTGACCAAGAAAGGGAATTTGAATCCCAACTTTTATCTGCAATGTATAAACTGACTGTAACAATTGTTGTCTTGCCGTATTGACTGAATGCATAGTCAAGTATGGATCGTGTTGTATTGTATTGTTTCCTAGTGCTACTACTAGTGGCAGTAGTGGAGTTGCTATTGGGAGCAACCGGGAACCCAAACCACGCCAATTGACTCAATGACAGACCTTATGATACAGCGGGCACGTGCTAACCATTCGGCCATCCACCCCTCCCCATATAACTACATTAATACCAATATCTAGTAATGAATTACGACGAAGATGATTATAAAGAAAAAATATGATTTTAAGAATATGTGAAGAAAATAGCCATAAACTGGACTCCTTGCATTATTCCTCGATCCAAGAAAATTATAAAAAAAAACTATTTCGTTAGAGGTGCACAACATTGTAAATACACAAGTTGTTAAATGCGCCCTAGTTTTCTCGACGAAAAAGATATACCAGTTGTAAAATAAAGAGGGTAACTATTAAGGACTGACAGATTAAGTACCATTCATCGGTAGATTTACGCTGCTTTTTTCTGGTCGCCCAGTTAGCCACGGTGACTTAGTGGGTAAGACGATGACTCGCTAGCCCGGAGGTCGGGTGTTCGATCGAAAGTTCATCGGAATTTCCCGAAGTGGTTTCCCCTTGTCAGTGATGTAGGACGGAGGGCTTGACAAGGACAGCTGTCTAGTCGCTTGGGTGGCGTATGCTATAACCACGAGATGTGTTTACTTCAACAGCTGGGGTTTAACATCCTACTGTTCTGCTCCGATTAGACTATTGAAGACTGACATATGCCATAGTGTGCTATAAGGTAAATTGTGCCCGGGCAGCGGCACTATGGCCTATATATCGATTTCCAAATTGCACGCCAATGTATACACGGGGCCTCAGGTTTTCTTCCCATCCTAACGACTAGACACGACCTCGCGTTTTCGTCTCATCTTAATAGCCTATGTTGTTCATTGCCAGGTCCTCCGTCTTGCATCACTGACAAGGGAATACTACGTCGAATAATCTCGGTAAACCCGCGACCTCCAGGCTAGCAACCGTGACTCCCTGGGCGACAAGACTAAAAGCAGCATAAGTCTGAAATAATGTATCTGAGATTTCAACTTTAAAGTCTAGGAAACATTATCACGAGAGGTCATTTTGACAGGCCATTTTGAAAGTAATAGTAACCTTGTTTATAAACATACAATTTTCAAACATAAATTTAGTTGGTGGATTTGACTCGGGCAGCGCTTTTCACGGTTATTCTTTTTCAAATATCATACACGGGCTAGACCATGGGTTTTTGTTTTCCTGCCCCACACGACTTTGTATCCGCAAATGATGTAAGGATCATCCACATTTTGGTTCAAAATCAGGGGCATATCAACACGTGAGAAGGTGACATTTCACTGTTGATGGCTACACATATATTTCATCTGATAAAACATAATATAAATATAAAATATCTACACGAGGTTTCATTCTATACCAAATCAGCTGATCCCTAATCAGGTAAGTTTTAACAAAATACTTTGACACGTTCCAGAGGCAAAGTCCGTGTACTAACCTAATTTCATTTTTTGTATGGCCCAACATTTTATATTACATCGCAATTACAAGCCAGTTGGCTGAAATTCAGGTTTAAAAGGTCTATAGGAGGTCACGGTGGCTAAGTGGGTAAGACGCTAGCTCTCTAACCTGGAGGTCGGGTGTTCGATAAAGTACATCCAGATTTTCCGGCGTTGTTCCCCTTGTCAGTGATGCAGGACAGAAGGCCTGTCTAGTCGTTTGAATGGGACGAAAAAACAAGGTCCCGTGTACACTTTGGCTCGCACGTAAAAGATTCCTTGACAGATGGAATTCGATATAAGAGTAGGCCGTAGAGCCACTGTCTCAGCAAATTTGCCCTCATGGCACACTGTATGGCGTATTCCCGTCTTCATTAGCCCAGGTTAGGAGCAGAACAGTAGGACGTTAAACTCCATTCCATTTCATTTCATTTAAAAGGTCTGTAATTTGAAGTATGATCATCGATTTTAAGGGGATACTTCATCGATTGTTTTATAAAAAGCTTTATTTCCCATATAAAAGTGAGTGTTTTGTCCCCCGTCCTGCAGCACTGACAAGTGGAAACCACGCCGGAAATACCCTATGAACTTCTACGGCTAATCTGTGACCTCCAGGCTAGCATTTCGGTGCCTTACTGACTGCGCTATCGCAGCTCCGTCACTTGATTCATATTAAAAATGAAATGGGGTTTAACGTCCTAATGTTCTGCTCCAACTGGGCTAATGAAGACGGGCATACGCCATACAGTGTGCTATGGAAAGAATTTTGCCGGGATAGCAGCTCCCCGACCTACTCTTTCATCAAATACCAACTGCCGATGGATCTTTGTGTACACGGGTTCTCTGTGTTTCGTCCCATCCGAACGATTATAGCGTACGTTGTTCCCTGCCAGGCCCTCCGTCCTGCACCACTTTCTCGACGAACGGAACGATCGAACACAAGTCTTTCAAGGTAGCAAGCCAACCTCTTACTCACTGAGTCACTGCCGCTCGCCACTTTATTCACTGCCACCAGACCTTATGATCTGACCACTCGGTCATGCACCACACCCGCCGCTAAAATGTAGTACGATAGCTATTGTGCAAATCAAACCATTATCTGACAATTTTGTTTACATAAACAGGATGTTGGCTGTTATCCTGCTTTGTATGACATGGTTGCCATTGGTAACTAGTATCTCTCAACCAGTTATAATTCCCATCACCCCGAGCGGTGTTAGATTTGAAATTAAAGGTAAATATTGATTCATTTTATTTTTTGAACAGTAGCAGAGAAAATAAACACACGGAAGAAAAAAAAACAATTATAAAATTCATAGCGTCAAATATGCAACGTTGCCATTGGCGATAACGTCAGCTTTAAAAAATTGCAAAACGGTACACCCTTGTTAATTTCTCCATATTTGTCAGGTACATGCAGGCCCGTGCGCCCCCCCCCCCCCTGCAAAAAGTTTCCCCCCCCCTCCCCGTGAAAAAATTGTCGACCCTAAAAGCAATAGATATACATTGTCCGTTAATTTTACAGCACCCCTGAGAACACTTCGCGTCCCCCTCGTAGCTCTGAGCTAGTTACGTCACTGGGTACATGGCGGTTTCAGGATCAATGCGATTTGATATCATCAATGGTATAATAGAGAATGGAAGTATTTAATTATTCAACATTAATATGGTCGTTTGGTGCTCGAAGGTGAATTTTGCCCTGGCAGCGGCGCTTGTTGTTTATCGAATTCCAACAGTTAAGGGTTCTTTTACGTGACTATCAATGTGTACCGCAATGACCTCTATTGATCGTCCCATGCGATCGACTAGACAACACATACGCGCTACCAGGAACGCTGCAGTTTAGAGTACAGTCCCCTTATGTTCTACAACGCGTCCATCGATACAATGGTAAAACAAACCCCGCCATAACATAATTTAGGCATTATGGCGCTTTAACATATGAATTACATATATATCTATCTATATATATATTTTACAACTTTAATTATAGTTTTCAATTGTAACCCATGTAATTCTAGTTTTATAGATTAAAGTAGTTTTATATTTACATATAACTGAAGTTTTACAATTTTAAGTTCTAACCCATACTATTGTGTATTTTAGACGAAGGTTACGACCTGGTTGCCCTTCACTACAGTATCAACAAACCGGATGCGGGCGTCCAGGCCGGACAGTTCAACTTTGATCTTAACACCAAGGAAGGTCAGTAAATATGTATTTCGACACATCTCTACGTGAGATAAGTAGGGGTTTCCCCTCCACCCAACTACGTCATTCTCTTACACACGTCGTGTCAAATGATTTGGTGCGTGTGAAATGATTGGGTATAGGGTCGTCGTGTGAAATGATTGGTTATAGGGTCGTCGTGTCAAATGATTGGGTGTATGATGGTCGTGTCAAATGATTGGCCCATGGTCCTGTCAAATAATTTAATATGGGGTCGTCCTGTCAAATAATTTAATATGGGGTCGTCCTGTCAAATGATGCGGTCCATGGTGGGTGTCGTATCAAATGATTCGGTACACGGTGGTCATGTGATGCGTTTGTATGAGCATTACCTGTTCTATAACCGGGCGCCATTTTCATTAGCCCAGTTGGCGCAGAGCAGTAGGACGTTAAACCCCATTTTATTTATAACCCAGTGATATTCATTTACATTACAGGCGGTAAATGGATCCATGTGAATAAAGCTGTTACACTTCACCCAAATGACGTCATCAATTATTGGGTATACGCACTCGTAAATGGCCGCCCACAACAATTATTAGACCAATCATGGTCAATGTCATGTAAGTTCTTGTTTTATATGTCAGCAAATATTCCCAATATATTTCTTGTGTGACATTCTTAAACAAAAACATTCACATGTATCTTCTGATGTGTTATATAATAACTTTTTTTCCATAGCTCAGATTAGGCAAAGAGCAGCAATGTAAAGTTTCCCATCTTAATGTTATTAAATTTAATTATAGTATCACTAGAATTCAGAGGTATATAAAAAATACTGATCGCTTTTCTTAAAGATACATTATGGGGGATTAGATAAAGAGCTGACAGTTCGCACTATAATAGTTAAAAATAGATAATGTAAAAGCAATTGGCTGAAAATTTCAGTCAAATTTAGTGATTGAATTCTCGGCCTATACTAGCCTCGATCATCATTACTAAAGTCGGTACGATAAAAAATCATAGCCTCGATTATCCATTTCATGATTAAATCATAATCCAGTAAATATCGCAGGCTAGCGATGACATCGAGAGTTGATTATGGTCTGGATAAGTTAATTAATGTCTAATTAATAATTTAGATAACATTTCAGGCCTAAAGAAAGACCTGCAATAGACAGATTTAGCTCTTGCATAATGTATGTTTAAAGATAGATTGCAAGTTCAAATAATACTCACTTGTGTGAATGTTTTTGCAATAAATATTCACCTGTAATTATTTGTTAAGAGATAATTGCTAGGTTCGATGGATGATCACACATCTTTGTTATTTGTGTCACGAATCAGGGACAAAACACAATATAAAAATTTTGTAAATTAAATGATATAATTACTCTGCACATATCCGGAATTTATATCTGATATTATGAGTTTACATATGAGAATATATAGTGTACAATTAATCCATTAAGTACACGTGGTCTGATAGAGTCTGCCTGATTCGTGACACAATTAAATTGAAATAATTTGATAGTGTACTTTGAAATTATGATAAAATTAAATTTCACATAGTTTCTACACTTACTTTACTAGTGTTATTTTTATCTTTTTCTTTCTTCATACTCAGATATGCAAAAAGGATTTGATTACAAATGTAATGTTTTCGATTATGATTATTTATAAAATGTTATTTTTTGTCCAAAATGTATGGCGGTATATAAGATTCAAAATTCTAACATGCTATCGTCTAATTTCTTACTTCCATTCATGTAATTTCTAACTTTCATTCATGTAATTTCTAACTTCCATTCATGTAATTTCTAAATTAAGACAATGTATAATCCAACTTCTTTAATTGTTCAATGTAAATTTTAATTCTGTTTCATCTTATTTCTATTATTAAGACGAAAAATGTCTACTTCATTGTCGCTTTACATGTTAGAATTTTGATACTTCTACCCACCAACCGTCATTATGACGTCGTTTGGTGTCGCCACCGTGTGCTCAATTTGGCGATTGAACACCTGATCGGGACCATTCTGTTGATACAAACGACTCGCTCTTCGTCAGGTTGAATGGTTTGGCGGAGTGTTAAAATTGAATACATCGAGAGAAATGAAATGGGGTTTAACGTCCTACTGTTCTGCTCCTATGCAGGGCTAATGAAGACGGGCATACGCCATGCAGTGTGCTATGAGGGAAATTTTGCCCGGGCAGCGGCACTATCGCCTATCTTATATCGAATTCCAACTGCCAAAGGATTTTTTACTTGCATTCCAATGTATACATGGGACCTCGGTTTTTCGTCTCATCTGAAGAACTAGACAGCTGTCCTTGTCAGGCCCTCCGTCCTGCATCACTGACAAGGGGGAACCACGCCGGAAAATCTGGATGAACTTTCTCTGCCAATGCAGGGATCGAACACCCGACCTCCAGGCTAGCGAGCCAGCTTCTTACCCACTTAGCCACGTGATTCCCATACATCGAGAGAGAGAGAGAGAGAGAGAGAGAGAGAGAGAGAGAGAGAGATGGTGTTTAACGTCCACGCGACACAAGCTAAGTCATTTCGGGACTAACATATTGCTCAATTTTATTTCAATAATTCGCTTGCGCGTAGGGTCTTTAGCAGTGGGAGGAAGCTGGAGGACTCGGAGAAAACCCATGAGGTTGGACAGGCGAACATACTCCTTGTCACGTACAACCGGGAAATCGAAACCACGCCAGTTGACTTGATAACAGACCTTATGATACAGCGCGCACGTGCTAACTATTCGGCCACCCAACCCCCCAAACAACATCAAACGTGATATGGTTTACAAATACTATTCCAAATATAAGCTAAACAGCATTTGCTAATTTTTATTTAAAGCTAGTGCAGATTTGAAGAATTTTTACAATTGAGCCAATTAATATTTATATATACTGTACGGTCTATATTAACACAGGGTACAATTTTATGGTTACACAATTACTAAGTTTTATACTAAGCGACGTTTCGACGAGGATACACTCGACTTTCTCAAGCACCCGTCTCTCTCTCTCTCTCTGTCTCTCTCTCTCTCAGCAAATTTCAGCACTCTGTCCAACCTTCAACCCGACGAAGGACGAGTCGTTTATATCAACATAATGGTCCCGACCAGGTGCGCAATCACCAAATAAGCACGTAGTGGCGACACCAAACGACTTCATAATGATGGTTGCTATGTAGAATGTAAAAATCATAAATTCGTTGATGTTCATGCTAAACGTGTAAAGCATCAATGAAGAAGACGGTTTTCATCTAAATAATAGAAATAAGATGAAATAGAATTAAAATTTACACTGAACAAATAAAGAAGTTGGATTATACATTGTCTTAATTTAAAAGTTACATGAATAGAAGTTAGAAATTACATGAATAGAAGTTAAAAAATACATGAACAGAAGTTAGAAGTTAGACGAAAGCATTTTAGAATTTTGAATCTAATATACCGCCATAGAAATGCACTAGAAGTTCCAAAAGTCGACTATGCTCAATCCACCGATGGAAATTGTCTAGACAATTTGGTTTCGTTGAAATAAGGACAGATAAAAACTACGAAATGGATCCTTGCCAAATACCAAGTGCGGGTGGAATTCAATGGGCATACTACCTTCACTCACATTGTAATGTTTTTTTTAGGAAAAAATATTTAATAAATATCTTTTAATTTCAGCCGGGAATACACCAAAACCAACTCCCCGACCAACTCCACGCCCGGTCACAAAGGCGCCAACTGATCACCATCCAGATAATACGAATACCGGGAACCACCAAAACATTCAACATGGCGGACAGTCGACCTCAACAAGTAAGGTGTTATTACTAAAAAGTACGATAGTACAATAGCCCAGTTGTCCAATAACCGAGCATGACGTAATCGTCAGCAATTTTGAATTGTTATGTGATATTAAAAATCGAAATCCATTAATCGATACGCAAGTGTCGAAGGAATAAGTATGTCAAGTGTCTTGTTGGTTGCGGAGCCTCGGGTATTTTTCGAACTAATAGAACGTTTGGTTTCAATTAGATTGTATTCTGGAACTTACCACGTTTAATATTAGTTCTTTCCGATATATTTAGAAATGAAGGTACATATTTAAAGAACTTCCTGTTTTAATTCAGGGACCCAGCAGTCATCTTGTACCAGTTATCCTTGTCTGGTGTTTGAAGATAATTTTGATTATTTAGATGTTGAAGTTTGGGAACATGAACTTACATTAGGTGGTGGAGGAGTAAGTTTAAAACCAGAATGATGTGTTGTCATTACTCATGCTAATTGTTGAATATATATTATGTGACGAGTCCAGGGGAAGAACGATCTAAGTCACATGTTTGTCATTTCGCATAAAAGGCAAAACAAACTTTTGGACGAGAATGCTTGACACGAACAGAACAACGAATGGGTTTAATTACCACTTCAAAATGATTTTTAATACGAATCATAATTACCAGTACAACAACTGACTTCCACTTTTCAGCCAAATTAAGGTCAAATAAATACGATGGACTTGTATTTGTCCGGGAGGCCATTTCAGAAGGGCCTTGGTTCGATGTGACTCCGGTCGTTTTTACCTAAAATTGATTGTTCCGCCATAAGCTTATACAATTTATTACCAGATGGCCCAATCAACTGGGGTTCGTTGAAAAAGTGACTTAGATCGTTCTTTCCCGGGGCTCTTCATATATATACATGAATATTGATTTAAAAATTTTAACAATTTAAGCTTGTACTGACATATACCTTATTGTATAATGCACAATGTTATCTCTCTATTGGTGGGTTGCGGTGTTGTCATCTACTTTCACACGTTGAATAATTAATCATCTCCGACAATTGAACGTTATCGTCGTTGAAGGTACAACTGGTGCCAATGGATTAGGGATAGGGCCAGGGGTAATATTAAGGAGATTGGGTACATTCTTTATAAACAATTCCAGGATCGTTATTAAATATTCGTTTCATCTTTTTTGTAGAATTGGGAATTTGAGTATTATACCAACAACCGGTCTAATAGTTACGTTAGAAATGGAATCCTCTACCTGAAACCGGTAAGATTCATTCATTTATTCATTCATTAATTCTTCCATTCATTCATTCATTCAAATTTTAGGGTAACATAAAGCATTAAATGAATTTGTGGTCTGTGATAAATTTGATGAAAGCTTCAAATATTCATTAGAGCTGGCACGAAAATAATGATTTGAAATTGGGTTACTACTACTGTCATGTACGAAGCTACACCATGCCATGTCGATCGTACTGGATTTGGCAGAGGCTTAGAGCTCCTCCTCCCTCCACACACACACACCTTTCCGCAAGACGAAGAACAACGAAACGATTAGTAGCGCTAGTTCACAAATCTCCTTTAAGGTGCCATGTAGTAGTATTGTTATGTAAATTTCAGACATTGACAGCTGATGCTCACGACGAAGCTTTTCTGCAACATGGAACATTAGACCTCTGGGGTAGGTTTATATTCTAATATTGAAAACAATAACACGAATTATAAATAGATTTACGGACGCTTCTATCAGTTTGTATAAAAACAAACTTGAATCTGAGTTCCGCGACGGAGACGATACCGGAATTGTAGCCTGTACGTTATTAGGGTTGTGCACCTTAGACAACAGAACATCTCCCATCAAATCAAGATTTTAAAAAGCTTACTTCAAAAGTTCAGTCCAATCCGGATTAAAATGGCGTATTTTTGAAATATTCAAATAGAAGAAGCAAGATGCTAATTATAGGCTGGTGGAGGAGGTTCGGGGATTTCCGGAATCCACAATGGCCGCTTTATATACAAAATGGGTATTTTAAGAGGGATAAAAGGTCAATTAGTTCCAAGTTCAGTCTTCTAAAAAGGGTAAGGGTTAGGGCTATTATTCCCTAAAATACTCATTTATATAAAACGGCCATTCTCGAACCTCCCCTCCGGCCTACATCCATAGAGGAACATCTGTTCGTAGCCACCCACCCAGTTCGTACCGGTAGCTCTGCATAATAATAGAGTATGTATATTGCAATAGTCACGTCGCAAGGGAGTTAACAATATCACGGTTTACTGACAAGGAAAATCAAAACGAACAACCAGAGCTGTTGGATAGACGTTAAGAATCGCGTTTCTTTTCTTCCTCGTGGAATTCATATGTTTCTTTTCAAACAGGAGCCGGACCTTATGACACGTGTACTGGAAATGCTTTTTATGGATGTAGCCGAACTGGAGGAGGAGATGGCCATATTCTCAATCCCATCCAATCAGCTAAGCTCAGAAGTTCACGTGGTTTTAACGTCAAATATGGTAAAGTTGAAGTCGAGGCTAAACTACCAACCGGAGATTGGATTTGGCCAGGTGAGTGACCTCAATTCGTGAATAATATGGAACCTAGTTATGTAAATGAACTGAAATTTGAACGCCATTAAAGTTTAAGATTAATTTAGCGCTGACTACTGCAATATATACATTTACGAGAACCGTAAAATTATTAAAGTATACCATTTATTATGTACCATTTATTACCCAATAATAGATTCTACAGTACATATGACTTGTGTAATACATTTCATAATCTACTGCCATATCTCCTCTTTACATGAATTTGATTGGTCAATTAACAAGGGACTACTTCTTTTTATTTTCAAAGAACAGTTCATTTTGTATTAAAAGTAACTTTTTTTATTAAAAGGGAATTATATTTATTCAATTGACCTTGATGAAAACACTGGGTCAATATAAAGGACTTTACAATGGCTGAATTGTTGTCAAAAAATGATGTATAACTATGCCGTAATGTAATCAGAGTTCAGTAAAAGGGAAGTCTATAGCAAAGAATTATATTTATTTATTTGTGCATGTCAGAAAGGATTGGGTGATAAATAAAATCTCCAACTTGTGTTTTCTTCACCAATGGGGATAATGATTAATACATTTTTGGAAGGCATTTCACCGTATTTCTACATTCCAGCTATTTGGATGATGCCAACCTATGATGCTTATGGCGGTTGGCCAACTTCCGGTGAAATCGACATTATGGAGAGTCGGGGTAAGTTTGATAGCTTCCGGTACTTCCAATATTAATCTGTAATTTTCAGAAATGAATCATCAATTGATTATCGACTATTAATTCGATGGATAGGTCAAGTGCATCCTAACGGTTGAACGGATCATACAGCAATTCGACATATCACAGGTGAGGGTGGGGGTAGAGAGGAATGGAGATTAAAGTCCACACAAACTATTACATCTTGGGACTAACATATGGCACGACTTTCGTTCATTAATTCGCTTGTGAGTAGAGGTATGTAGCAGTGTGTGTGTGTGTGGGGGGGGGGCGGTCGGAGGATAAGGAGACAATGCACGTAGATATGTACAAGTTTGGGATGGACATCATGCCCATGGCAAACTTTATTAGCTAGACCAATGTACCAGACATATTTACAATATAAAACCCTTTACATATACCAGTGGTTCTCAACCCGTTTTTGTCAACGGCACACCTTGGAACACATGACAAAATAGAGGCACGCCTGGCTAAAATATATGAAAAAGTCAGGCGGAATACAACCGTAGACAGAGACTAGTCATAGAAACATGGAATGACTCGAACTAATAAAGAAAGACACAGCTATCATAGTAGACACCAGTAAATACTCAATTAGAATCACGTGTGTCTCACATTTTCTTAGTATGCGGCACACTAGGAAGATCTCGCGGCACACTGGTTGAGAATCAATGACATTGACTAACAGGGGCAGAAATGTGATGATAATATTAATGTTTGATATTATTATTTAGAGAATGTCAACTATAAGGATGATAATATTAATGTTTGATATGAGTATTTAGAGAATGTCAACTATATTTATAAGGATGATAATATTAATGTTTGATATTATTATTTAGAGAATGTCAACTATATTTATAAGGATGATAATATTAATGTTTGATGTTATTATTTAGAGAATGTCAACTTTAAGGATGATAATATTAATGATTGATATTATTATTTAGAGAATGTCAACTTTAAGGATGATAATATTAATGATTGATATTATTATTTAGGGAATGTCAACTATAAGGATGATAAGGGTCAAGCTGCCGGAGTAGACAGCATAGGTAGTACGTTACATTTCGGTCCTAACTGGCAACAAGATGCCTGGCCTAAGGCTACAGCAAACAAGTAATGCCTTTTTTTAAAAATATGTCATGAAATATATCGAGCAATACATATCCGAAATTCCAAAAGACGAATTTTGTGAAATAATAGTTTTAACATGAATCTGGTTGTTCGGTTAAGCAATCAAATGCCACAGGTTCTATCCCGATGATGGACATAAAAAGTTCTTTGGGATTTTCCAGCATGGTTTCTCAGCAGCGCGGGCCGGCCAAGGGATGACATCTAGTCGTCCCTGCTACGCCATTGACAGCACGTCAAAGATCCCATGACGGTTTAAAATGGAAATTAGAGTAGGTCGTAGAGTCGCAGGGACGTAGTGACCAATGATTTTGCAGGAGGAACAAGATCCCATTCCCCACCCCCCCGAAAAAAAAAACAACAAAACAAAACAAACCAAAAACAAACAAACTTTATAAATATGTTAGTGCGGGGGGTGGGGGCGGTCCTTCCCAGTGCCGCCGGGTAATATCGGACTGGGTAGAACATGCTAGGGTCAATTTGTAGCATATCTGACCCACGGTATATGTTTGGTACTGATTGGGCATTATGATTATAATCTTGAAAACCATATTGAAACCCGTGTGATTTTTTGCCGCTTGAGAGGGGGCGCAAAAACTCAAGGGGACGCAAAAACTCAAAACCATGACGCAAAACTCGCCATTTCGTCCCTCACACTCATCCCTTGGAGCCGGTGTCAGGACAATATGTCCCCTCAATGCAAACTTTATGACGTGTAATAGTCTTCATTATCCGGGTTCGTGCAGAAAACGTTAAACCCATAGCTATCGGGCTTTATAAGACTCGAATATACAAGACCTCTAGCATCACACCTCGTATTATAAACCCAATGCATATGTTAACGACGTTAATTAATTTACACAAATTTAAATACCGGAAAATCATATTTAACTCTATCATTTTATACCATACCTACCACTAGTTGTTGTCAATAATACACTTATATTATTTCATTTAAAGTTACAATTTCATATTTTAAAGTTATATTTTTAAAATTTATTAAAATAAATCCTTAAAATAGATGGTATCTATAAACAGTCCTACCTTGTTAAAGAATAATCCTATTAATCCTATAATTCACTATTGCCAGTTGAGAAATTGGCAAAAATATCATTTTCAACTTCAAATTCAAACGTTTGAAGATAGCTATTCCATGGTGGGGAATAGGAAAACAAGGGGGGTAATTCGGAGGTAATTGTGTTATTATTTTCGGTGTGAAGATGTTTAAGTGTGAGAAAGATAACCTATGATCGTATAATAGTGAGTTGACAACCTAGAGGAAAAGACATAGAAATAATTATGTTTTGACTTTCTTAGAAAATATGAAATTGTAACTTTAATAGACGTCTGAATTCAGGATATAATGAAGTTATATTATTTTATTTTATAGACGTCTGAATTCGAATTCGGGAACATTTGGTGATCGGTTTTATAGATACGGTGTTGAATGGGATGAACATTCTATCAGGTAAGCCAGGAATTTCTTGTGTTAGGCTTACAAGTCTGGTAAGTTGTCATTGGAAACCATCGTGTAAAATGTTGATATGTATACTGTCGATAAAAGTAGGCGGCGTGGTTGTTAGACACATTTTATACTCCAGGGAACTGTTTCACGAAATTTTAACTATATATAAAATCCATTTTTAGTAGATACTTCAATTTTGATTGGCTAAGCACTAAAATCAATCGAATATTATTCAATCAAATTACTAAAATTTGGATTTTATCTGAGTTAAAATTTAGCGAAACAGGCCCCTGCTCTAATAAACTATCCGACAGTTAAGAATTGTTTGGGAAAGTGTAGCATTACGTGAAGGAGAAAAAAATGAATTAACAAGAAATGAAATGAAATGAAATGGGGTTTAACGTCCTACTGTTCTGCTCCGACTGGGCTAATGAAGACGAGCATACACCATACAGTATGCTATGAGGATATTTTTGTGCGGACAGCGGCGCTACGGCCTATTCTTATATCGAATTTTACGCGCACGTCAATGTGTACACGGGACCTCGGTTTTTGTGTACCATCCGAACGACTAGACAGCTGCCAAAATGAATTGACAAATAAGTTGATGAGTATACTAAAGTGGTAAATTGTAAACATTGTTAGAACCGAGACAGATTATTGTATTGAAGACATATTTAAAAACAATGCCATTTGAACAGGCCCAGACACAGCCCCCCCCCTCCCCCTCTGCCCCCTACACTACACGTCTGACATAGAGTTTCTGCTAGCAAAAGTAAATGACTTCATAACATACATTATTCAAATCCGTGTGTGCTCATAGACCAGATAAGGAGACAGCCATCGGACAATGGGTAAAACTATCTTCAATAGAAGGTTTGATGTTGTGAATCTTTCGGCCAGGAACATGTGGGTAGGACTGTCTATAGAATCCATGTGTTTCAGCCAGTATTTCAAGATGTGGCGGAGTTTCTCCTTTAAATCTTACCATTTAATTCATATATTTCATAAAGGTGATATTGTGTTAATATTGTGAATTTTACAGATTTACTGTTGACGATGAGGTGATTCTAAATGTAACACCTGATGATGGCGGTTTCTGGAAATATGGTGGCTTTGATAGATCGGGTATGGCAAACCCGTGGCAGAGTGGAAACAAGATGGCGCCCTTCGACCAAAAGGTTGATACCATTTTCATATATAATACAATATAGTGTTTAGCGTTCACTCTACTCGCTAGGACAATTCTCCCTTCGACCAAAAGATTGACAACAGTTTCATATCCAATACAAGATAGGGTTTAACGTCCACTAAACTACTTCTTTATTTCAAGGCAAAGCAAATCACTTGCTATATAGGTACATAGAATATATTTGGTGATTATTGCACAACAGATAAGGAATATAAGGAATATGATATAAAAATAAAATAATAATAATAATAATAATATATATACATATATAAATAAAGTAGATTCAATATCTAAACATGTCATGAAGATAGTACAACAGTATATACAACTAGCTAGGTTATTCCTTGATTCTTACGGTTCTTGTGAATTTAGCAATTATATGATATCGGAGACCCCGCTTTAATTAAACATTTTATTCTCCTCCAAGATATTTTGGGGTGAGGAACTGGTCACCTCGACGTGAAGCCTCTCATGCCTGCGGGGGAGGGGTGGGTGGGCTGGATGGTCGAATGGTTAGCACGTGCGCACTGTATCATAAGGTCTGACATTGAGTCAACTGACGTGGTTTCCATTTCCCAGTTGTACGTGACAAGGAGTAGGGATGCTTATCCAACTTCGTGGGC